CTCGCCCTTCCGCAGCGTTGCCACCGCCAGCCGCGCCGAGTCCGCGAACTTCCCCAGGCGCCGCCGCTGCCGCAGCGCCTGGCGCTGTGAGAGAGAGCCCCCCCCCCAAAGTGGGTTGGATGCCCGGGCCTATGGACGAAATCCATTTCGCACCACAGAAACCCTGGTTTCTGATTCGATTCCCCTGTAAATACCAACAATGGATTCGCCCATGGTTTCCAAGTGCAGGAGTTCGTCCATCCACAGGGATTCCCCAAACGAAGACTTGGGGTCACCCAGTCCCCCAATCCGGAACCCCAGGCCTCGCGAATCTGCTCGTGGGTGTGCAGCCTCTGGTCCAAAGGGGCGAAGACCTGCACGACTCACCGGCGCAACAGCCAGTCGTACCCATGTGGGTCAGGGGTTAAGGGGGTTAGGGGGTTAGGGGGGTTACGGGGTTAGGGGGTTAGGGGGGTTAGGGGATTAGGGGGTTGGGGAACATAAGGAGATTGGATCCGATATCCGAAATGAATCAGCACAACTGTGACCAACTACGCGTCAGTCTAATGTCCAGCAGCAAAAGCAAGAACAAGAACGAACAGACACAGGACAGCCAACGCTATTTCTCTTCTGCAGTCGGGTGAGTTGGCAGTAACTCTGAGTCTGAGCCATCCAAGAGCAACGCAAAAACACTGCCCCGCCTCCGCATCTTCGTCCCCGGCCTTCCGTGCTTTGTCAAAATAGGCCGCCTGGTGCTTCGTGGCAAGTGTTGCTAAGCCTGACCAATGCAATCCCATCCGCACTCTGAAAACTCTCAGTCTTCCGCTGTCAGTTCTTGGCATTGCGTCTGAAAGGCCGGCATCTGGGCAAAGGAAAAGACGAGATGCACAGCTTGGACCCTGAGAGATCGACTGCGTTGGCCAGCATGGTGACACCCCACAACCTGAGCTCAGGTAAATTCAAGCGCTGCTGTTTCAAACTATTCGTGCTATGCGTGTTGACAGTGTAGGCCGATTTGCTTCTCAAAATAACATCTGAGTGGATCCCCCCGCCCCCTCATCCGCCAGCCAAGACAGGCACCATCTTCGCAGCAACGTTGGTAGTCCGTCCCCTTGACGTGATGACCACTCACGTGGCACCTGTGAAAACGTGTTGATGCGAGCCTTTCTTAGGAAGGGTTGCCCCAATGCAGATGTGCGAAATGATGAAATCTGCTTTGAACATTTCTTGGCACTGATTTGCACTGCAAAGTGGCCGAGTCCGTACTCGGTACACCTCTCGCAAACGCGCCTCAGCCACGCAAGCAATCCTGCAGGCTGGCAAAAGTTGCCAGTCCAGCACAAGTCAGCATGCCCATGTGCAAAGCAATGCTTGGCATCTGCAAGGATATTGTTTCCTGTGCATCGAATCCTTCATCTTGCAGCTGTTGTGCAAGTCACTGTTGCCCAAGAGAACAGGGCCCTGAACGAAAGACATGCTATATCCGGTTCAAATCTGTTTGTGGAAACCAATTGATCCAAACACACCAAAAGCATCCAGCTTTAAATGTTTCCACACGAGGCAGCTTCCGTCCATCCTTCAAACGGCCGTAGAAGTCCAAGTGGTTCACCTGTTGGCCCGTGGTGTTGTGAAACGCGCCAATCGCATCAAACTCTGGGAAGTATGCCACCACCACTTTCCTTCCTCCAATGGTGGTGTTGATGATCTTCTTCTCCTGAACGAATGCTTTGGTGTATGCAACATCATCACCCTCCAAAGGTACCGCATACACATTCTCCTTGTTTGGAAGTCTATTGTCCTTTGTCTTCAAGGTGGGGAAGACCGGCTTTTCATTGGTCTTCTGGTACACAATCGAACTCTTGAAGATCAGGTCCATCATGCCGTCGTAGATAAACTGAATCGGATTGCCCAAGAAGCTGGGCTTGAGACCTTGGGTGGAGTAGTCATTCACAAAGACTTTAGATCCTGGCCAAGCCTTGCAAAAGTTCTGGAAGGTTAATCGATAGGTCGGCCACTCCTTCATTCTCTCCACATTCCCAAGTCCGCACTGACACTCCATGCGACTTTCCGTGGTGCCCCAGAACTGCTGCACGGGCTCCATGCTGTTCTTATCATACATCACCAAGTTGTTTTCCATTTGTGTCATGGGATGCAGGTCCAATGATTTACCACCAAGCTTGGGAGTGTAAGCGATGCCGAGGTTGGATAAGCCACAGTAGGTCAGAACCACATCTTCCGAGACTTCGTCCGCATTCACCACATGCGGACGCAAAGCCTGCGAATCTGGGTATGCTGCTGCTTTCCCATCCACTTCCAAAATGATGCAAGGTTCGTCCGCACCATCAGGGAGTAATTTGATGGCATCCTCCTGCGACACATAGACTGCATGATCCTTCTGATTCCTGGCCCTCATCATGATGTGTGGGTTGATGACCCCAGAGAAAAACAGAACTCCTGTCCAGACTGACATTGCTGAGAAGAGAGGCCATGAACAAACTGCAGGATATGCCAATTTCAGAAGACCCCCCAAGCCAAGAGGGCACAACGTGGCGGCAGAGTAGAGGTTCCTATATCTCCACGTCGCAATGGTACTGGAGCGGGGTGGCTCCACGATCATCTGGGACAGGTCTGCCAAGTCCCGGAAGATGAAAAAAGTGCTCACCTGTGAAGTGGCGATGCCAGCCCAAAAAAGGGGTTTCACCCAGGATGGTGTCACACGATCAGAGTCTGTGGACATGCGACGGCATCCCATTCGCCCCATGGCTATCAAATGGCCTCTTTGCAAAAGGCTCATGATGCCAAAGCGGAAGATCTCAAATCAAAAAAGAAATGAAAGTGAAAGACTTGAGCAGGAAGGAATACGTGAGATATGACATTGTCACACTGTGTATTTGAAGCCTTTGCTTTATAGTGACCAATCCAAGCCCACCTTATAGGCAGCTTTGGCCACAATCGCACGAGCGCGCCTGAACCTCCTTGATCACAAACTTCGCCACACCTGGGCATGGTGCGTTGTTGAGGGTACCTTTTCAGGTTGATGGGAAACCAAAGGCGAGCCAGCTATTGTGGGGGTTCCCCTTTTCTGAAACAAAGCCGAATTAACAAAGTTGGCCGAGGGGAGGACGGAGGCAACAAAGTCGCCACGCTGGCAGATCTTGATCTTTCTCCTTCGAAGCAAAGCAGGGCGGACCAGGTGTTGGAACACAAATAGATCTATCCGAAGTGAGGCTAGTTGCATCAAAGAGTCCAGCAAACAGGAATTGACAAAGGTGAAGAAGTCGACAGGCCTTGCCCAGTTGGCAGAAAGTACGCGCCACGAACTATGTTACACAACGAACACTCATTTGTCTGAGGCCGGAACAGAGTACTGACAGCACGGCTGCTTTGCGCCGGTCTGCCAACGCAAGCATCCCCAGCTCAATACCGACTTCCACAATGTGAAGCACACCCGAGCTGTGGACAATACGGCTCAAAGGAGGGATCCTTTTGCTGGGTTTTTTCCAAACCCCAAAAGGGGTCGCGATTCTGACACACCGCCGGGCTTGGATCTTCACCCTGCAACTGGGCCCACCACGCACGCGTCTCGCCAGGGGGCCTTTCAAACCATGCAAACAGCACCCAACCCATTGACTTGGCCAGACCAACATGGTCATTAAGGTATTGGCCTCACTAGCCCCATTCAACTAGGTAGGACCTCTGACCTACGAAAATGGCCCCTGGAAGCTTCGACCGCTCATGCAAGGAATGAGTGCCCGGCACAAAGGACGCCCGAGCGCTTGGGCCCCGTAAACGCCTCAGCGCCGACACGCAACAGGCATGCAAACGTCTCAGGCAGGTTCTTTGGATGCCGGAGCCTTCCGACATATGCGGGGGAGGTCAACAATAGGATGTGTGATCCTTTGTGGCAATATCACCAACATCACCAGCAGCAACACCGGCACTACCAGCCTTGACAGAAAGACAAGGACAAGAGTTCCAGCCTTACCAGCAGCATGACCAGCATCATCAGCACATCAGTGTCAGCAGCAATGTTCGCATGCTTGAGAGGGCCGCTCTCCACATCTCTCCACTTGTTGAAATGTCTCGGTTCTTCCGAACACTCTGGGCCCACTTACTCATGGCTGGAGACATCTGACATATGCAGAGAACATACGTACCACACTTTATGAGAAGCGTCCTACTGCGACAGAATGCCAAATAGGTGTGTTGGCTGCGTCGTACACGTGGCTGCACGAGAATGTGTTGGGGGTTCCGGAGCACATCAGGATTGGCCCATTGACTACTTTCTGGAGCAGCTTTGCAATGTGCAGCATTTGTCCACGTCTCAGACTTGCAATTTCCTGTTTCCGAACGTGGGCAGGAGATCTTAAGCTTGGCCTTCCTGATATGTCGAAAACCCAACCAAGTAATCTCGTTTAGTTTAGGTGGGTTAAGGGCTTCAGATTTAGCAAACCCTCCAAAATTAAGACATTCAAACACTCAGAACTCAGAATAAGCTCCTGATTGCACAGAGGTGAGACAAAGCCGAAGTGCTGTCCAAATACTTGTTGCCTATCATCTACCACCTATCACTTGCAGCATAACCAGCTGACATTAAACTTACCAATGATGTTGCGCGCTGTTTGGCCTCGCCACAAGTGGGTGTGTCCTTTTGTTGCGGGTATCTTTTCTGGGGTTGTTTGAAGCAAAGCAAAGGAAAACAACGCGTTTGCTGCCAACCTTTGTACTGACTCATGCGTAGTCCTGACTCAAGGCCTGCGGTAGTATACAGACATGCAACACAAGTGACAAGTGAAGCATGTAGTTTGACAATGGAGAGAGAGAGAGAGAGAGAGAGAGAGAGAGATTCCTCGATTTCCATGAGAGCAGAGCGGTCTTGCTGCGGATTCGTCTGACTGGCGCCATAGCGGTATGATCTGGTTCAGAAGGTAGATGTTGCTCTTCAATCTGATTGTTTTCTGGCATCTCACTGGTCAACTCCTTGCGGGGAAGCTTCGATGGATTGCCAGAGATTTCCAGAACCTTCGGTCGATGGTAGCTTCTCTGTGGCCGTGGTCTGACGGAGTGGACGCATCGTAGTTTGCCAGACATGAGGACCCAGACGATGCGTCTGCGCGGGCCACTTAGCTTTTGGTGGGAGTATCTCGCTGAAGATCCGCCTTAAATAACACAGTAGGTAGTAATATGACATTTGTTAATAGTCATCAAAACACAATAACCTCGCATATATCATTAATTGACACAAATATTAATAACATAACAGGACACGGAAACACAATAACAACGATTTTAACAGATATAGCAAATTTACAAGCAGGAGCGGGTGCTTCTTGGACTACAACTGAAAAAACAACTATTCAAGCAGATGTATCAACATTATATACAAATGATACTAATTTATTCAATACAAATACCGCATACAGTAATACATTTGCCTCAATCATATCAGACAACACGACACAAGATTTATTAATAACTCAAAATTCAAATACGATTAATAGTTTAATATCAGCAGATTTACAAAAGTTAGATAAAACAATCACAACTGCACAAACAGTAAACTCTCCATTAATAGTTAGTTTAACAAATAATACTAATCCATTTTTTAGAATTCAAGATGCTGTAAGTAACCAACGCTTAGAATTAAAAGAGGTTGTCAGTTGGATTCTTATCAAGGATTAAGTGGTGCTACGGCATATAGATTATGGTTAGGGTGGAACACTGGCGATGTCATAATCGGTCGACCTAATTCCGCATCAAGAATTACTATCACTGGTAATGTTCATACTTCTTACAATTTTGCTCAAGCAGACGGAACATCATATTTTGAAGGTGCTGTATATATGAAAGGAAATCTATTTACAAATAATGACTTTTCAACAGATATTAAGACAAAAATAGATAATTTAGACAATGCATTAATTCCGTATTTAGAAACATACACGCCGACAGCAACTGAAGGTTTTTATATTCGTCATCCTAATTTGGTTGCTTGTAGTATTGGTGATATTACAAATTCTTCTAACCAATATTTTATGTGCGACGGTGCTGTATCCAAAACCATATTCAATAAACAGTTGATGTATTCGGTGATGTATATACAAACGGCAATTTAACAATGGTTTCTGGTAAGAAAGTTGAAGTCAATCAAGTTCAGTCAGTATCAGGAAATACTTTATTATTACAAAATTCACCGAGTGGCAACGTCCAATTGGGCAACACTTCAAAACTAATAACTAATAATGCTGAAATGTATCTTGATACAAATGATTTAATAATCAGGAATAGCAACACTTCAAATTCTATTAATTTGGTTGTTGGATTATCTGCAACATATGCTGATAATAAAATTATTTTGAATAGTGGAAGTAATAGCGAATTACGCGGCAATTGGACTATTGACGGTGATATGACTTTTGGAATTGCTCATAAAATAGATTTGAGACATTTAAATAGCGATGCCGTATTAAGACTGGAAGCACCAACAACTATTGATAGTTATATTGGTGGCACTAAATATTTACAATTGGATGATACTCAATTTTCATCATTTAACGGATTTAATTTAAGTAGTGATAAGAGACTGAAAGATAATATAGAAGATGTAGAAGATGATACTATAAATATGGAAAAACCATTAAGATTAAAACATTTGTTAAAAAAACAAAAAACCAGAAAAACTGAAGTTGGATGGATTGCTCAAGATGTTCAACAATACACAAATCCTAAATATAATATTGTAAATGATACAGGAGAATACTTAACAATGTGTTGTGACAGAATGGCCTGTATTAGTTGGGGTGCTTTATCAAAACTAATCCATCGTGTAGAATATTTGGAAAACGAAGTCTTTAAAAAGAAAAATAAAAAGAAAAGTCTAAATAATATTTATGCGAGAAGTGATATTAAACTTCAAAAATAAAAATATATAGTTTTTAAATCTTGTAAAATGTATTTAAAGAAATATATAATACAATATAATATAGAATATAATGAGTATTAAACCTGAAGATATGACACTGGAACAAATAAAGGAACAACTGGCACTATATAACAGATTATATTATCAAAGAAGAAGACACAAAAAAGAATTTATGGAAATTAAAAGAGCAAGTGCTATAAGATTTCACAGAAGAAAGAAATTACACAAGATGGCAGAAAATGGAGAAATTGATTTAAAAGATATTGGTTATGAAAATAAACCAGAAGATTTACAGAATACAAAACGAAGAACATATAAGGCACAAACATATAAAATTATAACAGTTGAATAAATAATATTTATTAAAATTTAAATATTTTAATAAATATTTGGTGCATTTTTTGGTTTTTAGGCTTTGAATCCCCCAGAGCGGGGGATTTGAAACCCCCGGAGCGGGGGATTTGAACCCCCCGGAGCGGGGGATTTGAACCCCCCAGAGCGGGGGATTTGAAACCATAAATTTAGGAAATATATATATATATATGTACTATAAAAATATGTCTTGTAAAAAAGTATTTAAAGAAATATTATGTACTATAATTATCTGGTGAGTATGCACGACACTAAAACTCAAATTATGGAAAATATCAAGAACTGTCAAATTTGAAAAAAAGCAAAGAATAAATTTGAAACTACAAATGAATATAATATTACCAAGTAATATTTCTAATAAAATTGCTAATTGTAATATTTGTAAAACCTGCTCAAAGGTGTCCATGACAATGGCACAAGAAAATCAAGAAACGGACAAATTACGTACAATTAAACGCTTTGAACCTGAAGAAATACAAATATTTTATTTTACTAAATTA